CAGTTACCGATACTGAATGGTCATCAGACTCCGCTGCAACCAATCATATGACAGGAAATAAAGGTATGGTAAAAAATGTTCATAATTATTTTGGATCTGATTCAGTAATTATTGGAGATGGTTCTTCACTTCCGATCACAAGTATTGGTGAAACTACTCTTCAACAGAATAATAAAACCTTACCTTTAAAAAATGTACTTTTTGTTCCTGCCCTAAAGAAAAATCTATTGTCTGTTAGTCAATTAACATCTGAATCTTCTGTAAACTGTGAATTCTCTAATGTCGATTTTTTTATAAAGGATCGGAAAACAGGAAATTTGATCATGAAGGGGTGCAGGAAGGGTGATCTCTATACGATCTCCAGTCAACTGGAAGCAAATTTTTCATACCGTTTTAAATCCTGTAGCTCTGAACTTTGGCATCAATGTTTAGGGCATCCTCAAGCTACAGCAATCCAACGATTGCAAAATAAAGGCCTTATAGTGTCACTGGTTCCTTAAATTCAGGCCATTTCTGTGATAGTTGCCAACTAGGAAAACTTAGCAAACTTCCATTTCAAAAGTCACAGAATAGATCTACATCAATTTTTGATAAAGTTCATTGTGACTTATGGGGTCCTTCCCCAGTTGTTTCTGTTGGAAAGTTCAAGTATTATGCTTGTTTAGTAGATGATTATTCAAAGTACATGTGGTTTATTCCATTACATAATAAATCAGATTTTACTTCTGCCTATATTGCTTTTGATAAATATGTTCAACGTCAATTTAATAAATGTATCAAAATATTTCATTCTGATGGCGGAGGTGAATTCACTAATTCTAAATTGTCTGAATACTTTCTCTCCACAGGAACAGTTCATCAAATCTCCTGTCCATATACTCCTGAACAAACAGGTGCTGTGGAAAGACGACATCGTATCATCCGAGAGTTAGGCATGACTATGATGTTTCATAGTCATACCCCCTTATATCTTTGGCTTGAGGCGTTTTCCACTGCTGTTTATTTAATTAACAGACTACCTTCTTCCGCTCTTAATTTTTCTACTCCATATTTTATGTTATATCGTGATCATCCTGATTATTCTATCTTACGAGTTTTTGGCTCAAAATGTTTTCCTTACTGTTGGGATACCAAAAAAAATTAAATTTGACCCTAAATCTATTTTGTGTATTTTTGCAGGCTATAGTGACAAATACAAGGGGTATAAATGCTTTGATCCCGTGACTAGAAAATTTTTTGTATCCAGGCATGTTACTTTTGACGAAACTTCTTTCCCATTTAAGACACCCTCACAGCCTTCTTTCTCACCACATGCTCATCAAATTTTTGATTCCTGGTTGCCACCATTATCGTCAAGTTCTTCATCTTCGGCTTCAAACTCCTCATCTGTTCCTATCGATGCAAACGATATACCAATCCCTTCCATTGTTTCGTTGCCACTCTCTTCCGGTGATCATCAACCATCCCCGCTGGTCACATCAACTCCAGCTTCAACACCAAATCCTAATTTCACTACTGCCGAATCCGCTTCTGCTCCTCCTGTCAGCTCTGGCTACGACTCGGTTACCCCTTTTCTTGTTCCTTCTTCATCAGTATTGCACCATAGCTCTCCCTCTCTCTCTATTGACACACCTGTCTCTGACGGCACTTCTAATTCTGGTTCCGAAGAAATCCCCTCGTCTGCTAGCTTCCCTCCATCGCCCCCACCTCAACATCCCATGATAACGAGGGCTAAACATGGCATTGTTAAACCAAATCCCAAGTATGCTATGTTGATTAGTCTGTCTCCTTCAATTCCGCCCGAACCTAAAACTGTCAAAGCAGCACTTAATCATCCCGGGTGGAGGGCAGCTATGGATGACGAGCTGCAAGCTTTACACGCCAATCAGACTTGGGTGCTGGTTCCTCGTTCCTCCTCCATGCATGTCATTGGTTCAAAATGGGTGTTTAAAACCAAGCTTAAACCTGATGGCTCCCTTGATCGTCTCAAAGCTAGATTAGTGGCCAAACGGTATCATCAAGTCGACGGTTTGGATTATACAGAAACATTTTCTCCTGTAATCAAACCAGGTACGATTAGACTAGTACTTACAGTAGCTCTTCATAATAATTGGTCAATCAGGCAATTGGATGTCAAAAATGCCTTTCTTCATGGTTACATTGAGGAAGATTTGTTTATGGAGCAACCTCCCGGTATGGGTGATTCTACTAAACCTTTACATGTCTGTAAGTTACAACGGGCGCTTTACGGTCTTAAACAAGCTCCGAGAGCTTGGTTTGATCGTCTTAGTACCTTTCTCCTTCGCTATGGTTTTTCTTGTAGTCTTGCCGATCCATCGTTATTTATTTTTCACTCTGCTAAAGGTACTTTAGTCTTACTTATTTATGTGGATGATATGCTTTTAACTGGTTCGTCTTCCTTACTAATTTCGGATTTCCTTGCTTTATTACACAGGGAATTTTCTATGAAGGACCTCGGTCCACTTCATCACTTCCTTGGAATGGAAGTGTCCTCAACTCCGACTGGTGGATTCTTCTTAACTCAAGCACATTATGCTTATACCATCCTTGATAAGGCAAATATGCTTCATTGCAAACCTATGCCAACCCCATTGGAGTCTCGGCCTGATATTTCTGAGCCTTCTGCTTTCACAGATCCTCATTGGTTCCGGAGCATTGTGGGAGCTCTCCAATACTTAACCCTAACCCGTCCAGATCTTGCATATTGTGTTAACTTTGTATCTCAGTTTATGCATTCTCCGACAGTATCTCATTTGAAATTAGTTCATCGAATTTTACGCTCTGTCAAGGGCTCCATTCATTTTGGTCTTCATCTTACTGCAGGTTCTAATCTCCACCTCTCTGCTTTCTCCGATGCGGATTGGGCAGGATGTCCGACCACTCGACGGTCTACTACAGGCTACTGTACTTTTTTCGGAAATAATATTACATCATGGTGTGCCAAGAAACAACATTCCGTGTCCTGCTCCAGTACTGAAGCCGAATACCGTGCTATGGCAAATACCGCTGCTGAATTGACTTGGCTTTCCTATATTCTCAATGACCTGTGCATCCCTTGTCAGCCTCCTCCTACTCTACATTGCGACAATATCAGTGCATTATATATGACGATCAATCCGGTTTTCCATGCTCGCAGCAAACATATTGAACTGGACTATCATTTTGTACGAGAACGGGTTGCTCTTGGCTTGCTTGTTACTAAATTTGTTTCTTCATCTCAACAGGTTGCTGACATATTTACTAAACCTGTTGTGAAAGCTTCTCTCCCCTTCTTTCTGAACAAACTGTGCCTTTGGCCCCGGCTCAGCTTGCGGGGGGATATTAAAACAAACGACTCAGAATCCAAGTCAACTACTTGAGTATAGGGAGTGATAAGGTTGTTTGGAGTGATAAGGAAGCTATACTCAGTAAAAGAGCGGGTTAGTAACAAGTTAGTTAAAAGTAATTCAGCCTTGTAGTTCTATTATTCTGAATTGACAGCATCTTATCTGAGAAAAAGGTTTTCAACGAGGAGAGCATCCATATCTCTGCTAACGGAATTACAACTGCAGCACTTATCATCCTTCTTAACAACTGGATCAAGCTTCTCAACAAAGAGATTGAGATTGTAGTTGCTCAAAGACTAATCATTTATTCTTTAGACTTAGCAGAAATATTTGTAAACCATTATAAATTGAGATGCTCATGAATCAGACTCCTTGAGTCGAATAATAGAAGAAAGGTAGTTCAGTTTCTTAAGCCATAAATTCTATTCCTTGCTCTATTGTTTACGATCTCCACAATCACATCTTTTTAGATTAAATAAACTCAATTTTTCTCTACTCCAAAGCCAAATACTTGAGGCTTAAATACTTTCTGAACTCAACCATCCACTCACACATACGGTACTCGAAAAATCCAGCCAACAACTGACAATTGAATGAGTAAAATATCTCACAACACAATTTTTGGAACACTAGGTAGAGCTTAAGGGTATCTGAATTGGCTGGCACAGACAGCAGCCTGATCTAACAACCCGTGAGTCCTCTCGAATAGAATTAACAATGGCTTGGCAAATTCATCATGACAGTATTTTAAATTTGAAGGCAAATCCGATTCATCTTTCTAACAACGGAAGTTTTCGAACAAAGAATTGATTGCAGTTAAGAGACGATTAACGCGGGCGTAGTCGTTAGCTTGGCTGAATACCTCTATATTTTCAAATAATTCCAACAACAGAGCATGCCATTTATTGGGAAACTCAAGCTTATAAATTACAGATTGAGCCTCGATCAGCGGCGGCAGAATTCCCGAATTCGAATAGGCAATCAATGAAACAAATTGGGATCTAATATGCTCTTTCTCGTAATACCTAATCGAACAAGAGGAAGCTATCAAGTCGGCCTCGGTACGTACCAGAATGGGCAGAGACCAGCGGGACCTGACGTGATCCTTGAAGACTACGGCGGCTCCTTGCCGGATCGGTTCGTCGACAAAAGGCTCCGAAACGAGTTTGAGAATATGAAGTGCGAAGTCAGGCTCCCTGGAGGCTTCCCAGAGATCGGTCTCGCCACAGCGACGAATTTCCGGCTGCGGAGACAGCAAATCGATGAAGCATAGGGAGAGGTAGGGCCCTTGTACTTTTTATTCGAGTTTTTTTAAAAAGTCAAATGGACACAGTCAAAAAATTAATAAAATATTTTTTTATTAACTGAGAGTTGACTTCTCCCGTTAATTTTACAAAAAATCTGTTAAATGAACCAAAATTGATGAGAAAAATATTTTAGTGGACTGTATTGCCAATTAAAAATTCATGGTGATTCGATCTTGCTACGCTCAAAAGTTGGGGAACGAAAAGTGCATTTTGTCCAAAAAAATTGTAAAAAAAACACTAATACGGGTAAATCTTGTAGTTTTAATAAAGGTGGGGGGTGTACTTCGTAATTGACCCGTTTTTCAAATATTGGGATTTTGAGATATATAAGCGGCGGCAACACCCCGGAAAATAGATCCTCTGTTTGGCCGCCCCGGTGGCTCTGATAGGTTTAACCCCTCCATTGATGACGAGAAGCTCAATTTGGTTGGGAGAAATAAAAAAGTTTAAGAAAGTCGTAACCAAACCCGTATCCCAAAACCTCAGCTGTTTCATTTTCCAGAAGTTGAAAATCAATGGCCGATACAGTGAGCAGTAAGAAGAAGACCAAGAATAGCACGGAATCGAAGGAGAAGAAGCAAGAGAGGGGGTTGAACATTGAAGGGTATCAAATTGAAGGGATTTCAATAGCAGGGCATGAGACTTGCATCATAGTCCCTTCTCTCAATGTGGCTTTCGACATTGGCAAGTGTCCGCAGCGTGCAATTTCCCAACAGTTCCTGTTTATCTCCCATGGCCATATGGACCATATTGTATGTTGTTGGTGATTCCTTGCAATCCCTTTTGAATATATTTTTCTTTCTGATTGATACCTTTGCCTCTGTTGATAGATAAATGTTCCTGCTCTAAAATTGTCTTACAAGTTTTTGGATTCTGTTTGATACGTTTGTTGTGGGGAGTGTTGGGTTCTGATTTCGGTTACTGGTAGTGGCTTATTTGGTACTGGGTTGGTGTAATCGATTTAGCTGTCAAGATAATGTTGGTGGTTTGTCTTTGAGATCATTGTATTGAGTGGCTTTGAGTTTGCGCTTCTAAGGGAAGCTTGATGGACCCTTTTTTCCCTTATTGTATTGGCGTTTATCTTATTTTGATTTATGTAAGGGGTGGCATGTCAGAAAATGTGGACATCTTGAATATAATTTTGAATCTTGATCAACTGTTCCAACTGCAAAGAGAACCCTTCAGTCTGGAAGGGGAAAGAGATATAAATCTTGTAACCTTTTTGCTTCCTGTGTTCTGGAATTGTGTTCATTAGGAAAGAGCTCAGTTGACATTGAATGACGAGAAAAGATCTTGTGATTCATAAATTTTGGACGTTGAGAAGGAAATATTTTGTGGAAACCTGGATAGTAATCATAGATTGCAAGTGTTTTCCAATGTGACGTCCTTTTTGGGGATTGGTTTGAGCAAATTTATAACAGCTGTGCTTAAACATTTTTCTATGCGGCTTTGATTTCCAATATTTAGGTTTGGATTTTGTTCATATTTGGGCTCCGAGAATCTTTCAGAAGATCAGGATATTTAATTCATTGAGTTTTGCCAGTAAAACACTTTATGATATGAAAATCTTGATTACGATGGTGATTTTGTATTTTTAGTAGATCATTAACTGTTAAGAGAGAATTCCTGAATCTGAACTATGCATGTTAATATTTGTTTGATCTATTTGCCCAAATCATCGGCAGAAAACTAAGAGCATGGTGAATTGTAAAAAGCAATGAGAAAGATAAAGACAAAGCTTGATAAAATGTTGATACTGATGCTTAAGAATTTTGGATGCTTTTGTCAGTTTAGAGCTATTAAGTTTTTAATCCGTATGGTGGATTGTGATTTATCATGCAACTAGTAATCAGCCCATGTTCTCATTTCTTTTTCTTCCAGGGAGGACTTCCGATGTATGTTGCAACCCGTGGCTTATATAAAATGGCAAGTCCAGTAGTAGTTGTGCCAAAAGTCATAAAGGAAAATGTTGAAAAGATCTTTGAAGCACACAGAGACATGGACCAATCGGAGTTGAGTCATACTCTAATTGGTTTGGATGTGGGTAATTATTGTGTCTACTTGTGTGAGTTTGTTTTAAGCTTGTTGAAATTAACTAAACCTTTGATCTCTTCAATGCCTTTCTTCTTTCTACAGGAGAAGAATTTTACTTGAGAAAGGATCTAAAAGTTAAAGCCTTTAAGACTTACCATGTAATTCCCAGCCAGGTGCTTTCTTCTCGATCCAAGCCTTTCTTTGTTATGTCACATTGCGGATGATCCTTTCCTGACTCAAAATGTGTTAATCATGACAGGGTTATATAATCTATTCCGTAAGACAGAAACTGAAGCAGGAATACGTTGGGCTGCCAGGGGATGAAATCAAGAAGCTGAAGTTATCGGGTGTAGAGGTCTGTCTATTGCTTTTTTTTTTTAAGATCCTTCTATTCAGAGGAAAGATTTGCGTGCTTGCGAATTTTGTTGTATCTTTTTACTCTGGCAGGTTGGTGCAGCACGTTAGCTTGCACATGGATTCGTTTTCTTTTTCCTTTTTCTATATCCTCTTGTTTTTCTTTTCTTTTTTAGCCTTGATGCCTCGAGAATATGGTTTGCTTGAAAAAAATTGTATTCATGATAGGGATTCTTTCTTCTTTTTGATATTAGATTCGTTCCCGTTGCAGATTACATATACTATAACAACGCCTGAAGTTGCTTTCACCGGAGACACTATGTCAGATTTCATCACTGATAACAACAATATCGATGCCTTGAAAGCAAAGGTCCTCATTATGGAGGTACAATGCAGTAACTTTCATTTGGTTTTTGCAACTGTGTTGTATCTTTCTTAATTAATAATTGACTTTAGTTCTATACTATCTTATGTAACTTTGTCACCTTTGATTTATATGTCACGACTTGATCTCTTGGAACTGAGTTTTGGAATTGAAGTGGTTCCGAGTGATTTAGATTTCTCCTACGCACACATCAGTCAGTGCACTGGTTTGATTTATGTGTCCTTTTTGTATGTATTGCATAGGTTTTAGTATCCCTTGTGGTACTGGGAATCCTTTGATTTCACCATTTAAGCATGCAGAGAAGACATTAAAGCAGACAAGGGCTTTAAGATCTACTGAGAAGAAATTAAAAGTTGTGTGGCATCTGTCTTTCAAATGCTGACTTTTCAGTGCATGTGTGAAGCATATGAATTTGATATTCAGTCTGAGAATCAAAATCTCATTAAAAGAATATACTTTGGATGGTAATCACTGATTGAAAATTATTATGTAATGTTCTCAATCCCAGGGAACTACTTCGTGCATGCATAACAACTATAAGTTACATTCATTTAATAATAATGCGACTTTTGCGGTGTGCATTTATTTATTTTCACGTGGCCTTCTTTTTACCTTTTTCCATATTTGGCTCGTAGAAAAAAAGAATTCGATGGTAGTTCTTTTTCTCTATGCAACTGTTCGATCCTCCATTTCTTTCTGTATTCATGATATGACCCCCTATCTGATGGCATTAGTTACAGCCTCCTGACTTGGTTAAATTCCAGTGTTGAAAACCTCAAAATCTTTTCCATTCATTTTGTGTCCGAATTGGAATGATACGTTTGTTATGGCTGTAGAGAGTTTCCTATCTCCACTGCAGTCACATAGCAGAGGCCATTGATGGTAATGAGTAGGATAACCAGAAAATAAATATATTGTTGCCCAAACATTTGAAATGAAGGGGCATCTATCGCCAACTGATTTAAATGATGAGCATATCATTGCTTGCTTTTATATTAAGAAACTGACACTTCTTTCCTCATGTTTTGAATGAAGAGCACATTTGTTGATGGCTCAATGAGTGTTGACGATGCAAGGGATTATGGACACATTCATTTATCTGAGGTTCATTTTTAACCATTTGTTTACCTTTAATCTCCACACCCGATATTGTAGGAAGTGTTGATTTGATATCCTCTGCAGATAATTGAGCGTGCGGAGATGTTTGAGAACAAAGCCATTCTGCTTATCCACTTTTCGGCTCGCTATAAGTTAGATGTAAGTTGGCATTTTGATTCTTCCCAAATAGTCCAACTTAATAATTGAGAAAGCGCGGTACTCCTGTTCAGCTTGCCATATCACTGGTGGGAAGTTGAGCTGCAGATACTTTTTTTTTTTTCTCTTTTTCCTTTATTTTTATCGAAAGTATTCATCTTAGGATACAGTTTCTATTTACTGGTTTTTCAAGATAATCATCAATTTGTAAATTGGGTAAATTTACTAAATTATTAGCGGGAACTTGACAGCTTTCATCAAATTCAAATAAATACATGGCTTCTTTCTTATGATCAGGTCATTCAACAAGCAATTTCTGCATTGCCACCACCTTTGGCTGGTCGTGTACTTGCACTGACAGAAGGCTTCTAATGCATTTCATGCACCCTAGGACACTTACAGAAGGCTTTCTGACTGTATTTGCCAATGTGTTATTTCACCAAAAACTGTAAATTGTATAAAAGTGATTTTTTTATCCCTCATTCAGACCTTAGTAAATTACATTAGCTCTTTACGTTTCTGTTACTGGGGATTCTGAAGATACATCAAAGGCACAAGCCCCTTGTTTTCAGCAAGTCGTTACCCAATAGGTCTGGAAGAGTCACCTTGTTCTTAATTGCAATTCAGAAAATATGTCCTTTGCATACTTAGCCATGAAAGTTTTAGCAATCTGGGATTTTGGCCTTTTATAATGTTATCGAAAGCAATTTTTGCCAATAGCGCTTGGCTAAAGCGCTCTTGGCCTTATATATATTCTCCAGCCCTTCCAATGTACCCTCCACCCTCTTATCTCCCTTCCAAATAAAATGTACAAACGTTGAATCTAATTGACACGTCAGAAGATAGACCAAAAAAACTTGCACTAGCACAATTAGAAATGCATTTCTAGGTTATGAGTACTAACATTCCCAAGGCTGACATATGGGGTTATTCAGCCCCCAGCAGACTGACCAAAATCACTCTTTTGCAACCTTTACATTCAAAGAACTAATCAGTTATGTGTCAAGCGAGTATATCCAGCAGGCCAGAGAACCTACCAACGATTGATTTACATACATTTCTGGTATTTGGTAGGTGAAACGATCATGTTACTAGTGTAAAATGTTCTACAATCTACACAAATGAAACCATGAACCATGAACCTCCTATTCGAAGATTTAGTAATTTGTGTTCAAGATAATGGCACGGAAGCAGTAAATAACCACAAACCATAAGCAAGTCTTTGTTTTGATCATGGGTAAGATTAAGTGATAAAATTGTATCACCATAAACCAAAATCAACATGTGAGCGCAGGTCTTGACTCTTGAGATATAACTTCATTCATTACAAAATTGCATAACAATATCCATCAGGCAAAAAATCTATTCATTACAATCCCAAGCAAAATGGAAGAAGATTCGTCCAATAGCTGTAGCATGGTAAAATTTCTCTCTTCCGCAGCAAACAATCCCAAACTCTAGCAAACAATACCCAACAAACTTCACAGTTGCAAGTTTCTCAGAGGAAGGGCTAATGCCGAGACTGGTTGGGGCATCGCCGCCATATTCCGTTACTGCCTAACGAGTCTTTCTGTATAACACATATAGTTAATAGGCCTAATTTCTGAGCATCCTAATAAGCTCTGCCATCTGTATCACTAGCATGAATTGCCTGTTGCAGGCACACCTGAACATCAGAAAATTAAAAGATGGTTAGGAAGTCTAAAATATTTATTAAAGAACAAAGGCTGCTTTTGTGATAGCTCGGCAAGTCAAGCTCACTGCAAATTATTTAAAGAAAGCTGCCAGAAAACTCATGTCACTCGCACCAAATTATTTAAAGAAAGGCTGTCTCAGAGTGTAGATGGTTAATGAGCAGAGGTTAAGTCACAGGATCCTATAACAACAAAAATAACTACCCGTCATTTTTGTTCGACTTTGTAGGCGCTTTGGTTATTTTGATTCTGAGGTTTGACAAAATTTTAAGCAGGTTGAACCACTTCAGGAGTGATATAAGTGTGATTTTTTCAACTGTAATATGGACAGGGCACTAAGCATTACCCAATTCATCAGAAGAACAATGAGAAACCACATGCCTAATCCATAGGAATTCTTATATTGAACAAACCACAGTTCTTGCAAGAGTATTCAAAATGAGTTACTTGCTTAGCAACCAGTAGAACTCAGGATCGCTAAAGGAATTCAAATCAAGTCCTCAAAGACACCTCAGATCTAAATGTTGACACGACCAAGAACAGGGAAGAAAATGCCGTAACATAGAAAGAACTACTGATACGCACAGCTTCTCCATCTCAAATTTTCAAGCAACAGTTTAAACATACTGAAACAACAGTAGATTAAATTTTTATTGATATGCTGCACAAATATAGAAAGTATCCACTCAAATTAGTTCCCACAAGAAAAGAGACTGAATTGTTGAAGTCTATGATGAATAGCCCACACAGCATATCCAAGTACTGGATTCAAACTAAATGTTGAGATACAAGTCAACTAGATAGCAAACTTAAATGTAAAGTTTTTAAAGTACATACCTCTATGATCCCTTTTCAAACTTTCGACCAAATTCGCCATGGACCCACACCACCTTGCTTCATCAGCTAAAGAACTAGCAACTTCCTCAATGGATTTCATGTCCTCATGAAATTCGGGATGCAGAAGTATAGAGGAGAAGTGTTCATCCACAACCAAACCAAAACATTTCACAATATCTTCAAGGGTAGGAATCCACTCACAAACTTTCAAACCCAAAAGAGATGATGCCTCTGGACAAGGATGTACCTGAGGGAACCTATCATACTTCTTCAACCACTTGTTCAAGTACTGAATCAAGCTCCTGATTTCTGAACCATTCAACCTACTAATACAAGAAGCCAATATGACTTCATCAACATTCTTCGACGCAATCAAATAGTGTAAGCACAATTCAGACACAGAGAACCCATCATAAGCTACCATAAGCAACAAAGAAGCATCCTTCTCGATGGTCACTTTCATCCCATGAAGGCTCTTATCACTCACTTTATCGATTGCTAACGATGCTTGGCTTTCCCACTCCTTCCTAATGCTAACCATATTCGCATATGCTTCTTTAGAGGGACACAAAAAATACTTTAATATGCACAAAAGATCATAACCCTGAATGTCTGGGAGATGCTTGATGCACAAGACGATCAAATCTGACTTGCTTTTCTCAATCAAATTGTTAATCAAGTTTGAAACACAAGAATGCTCAACCAGTGTATTAACAATCAAAGCTTTCAAAGCATCCCAAAGCTCCAAAACAACACAACACTCCAATACCAAACCCCTCACATCTCTGCCAATCAGAGACCCAATCTTCTCAACCAATTTAACAGTGTAACCTTCCCCTGACCTATCTTTTCCAACCGAGAGCTCCTCCTTCTCCTTCTTAAACTTCTCCCAGGTGTTAATCAGAAATGCATTAAACATTTGTAAAAACTCCTCTTTAGAAAAACCCTTTGTATTCTTCAATTTTCTTCTCAACTCCTTGAAGAACTTCTGGCCCAATTCAATTCTTTCATTATCAGGTTGCGAAATTTCAAACCCATTAACCCTTCTAACCAGTATTTGGTCAATCGGGTCCTTATTTTCAGGCTTAAGGCTTTTAAAAACAGGAACTGAATCGAGAACTATGGGATATCCTGACTCATAATCCGTCCGGCCAGGCTCAGATGAAGCTTTAATGATTATTTCTAATAATGACATATTTCTCTAGAAGACGATATAAGAAAACTTCGAGAGATACGACTAAGAGTAGTTCAGAGAAAGCTTACAGTTACAGAACCGATTTGCAGACAAGAAGACGTCGGCGAAGAGAATGACGGGAGGCGCAAGCGGTGGCGGTTCGTGGTTGTTTGGGAAAAGGGTTTTGGGGGATGATATTTGAAAAGGAGAGGGGTTTTTAGACTTTAAAAATTAAATGGGCTTTGCTTGTTGGGCTTAAGTAAGCTTTGCTTGTTGAGTTTAAGCACTATCATAGTGAACGCCAAGGACTATACTTTGGGCTCAGGGCAGTTCATTTTAATGGTAGTAATTTCTTTTGAATATTTACCGGATGCATTCCGTCGACAAAATGACTGGTGCTAAAATTACATTTCCTCCGGTCCTATATTTATTGTTCAATTTAAATTTTATCTTTAATATAAATTAAAAAAAATCTAAACTTGACAAAATTTTGAGATTCAGAGAATATTTTTCTTTTATTTTTAGATTATAACCGGTTATATTCCGTTTCGCTCTAGATTGAAATTCTTTTAGGGATAAAATAAGGAAAATTGATTAGATTGAAATTCACTGTATATCCATTTTTAGATGGTGCTTCACTAGTCTCCATCCCTAAAAACACAGAACTTACTTCTACACATTACATATTCAAATATAAATAAATAAAATGCAATAGAATACAAAATAAACTTTACCACATATACATCCTATCCTTTCCCCACGAATCACGGAACAATTATTTTACAAAAGAAAAAAAAAACATCATTAAACGATTTATTACAACAAAGATTCCCATTATACTGACAACTTTCTTTCTATGTGCACCATCAAGCACCCAAACTGCAAGCCACACAACACTCACCATTCCAACCACTTCGCTTACGCATAAAACTCGCCCTCATTTTGGCAACGAATATGCACTACCACGTGTCACAATATGATACCCGTTACACTGACAACTTTACATTTATATACAACTCGAAACTAGATGTTTGGCCCAGACAGATGCCCGGGCGCCCCTTCTAAATTACTATTTTATTAAAATCTAATTGAATTACTATTTTTTGAGGAATTAATTTGGCGTATATATCATTTATGCTATGATTTGGGACTTAAAAAAATATACCTATAAATCTGAGGTTATAAGGGAATAATAAATAATTAGTTTATAAGGCATTATTCTTAATTGCTGGATTTAGGTATTTTCATTTTTTGTTTATATTAAGCCTGCAAAACTATACAATTGGACATTTGAATTTGAATTAATATATCCATTCGTTTGAAATGTAACTGATCCTTATTTGTAGTAAGACATGTGTTTTTTTTTTAAAAAAAAATTATATAACTTCTAATTAAAAGAGACTTACACGTGGCAAAAAGACTCCTGAAATATAAAATATGGTGCATTGGAACCAAAACATATGCATACTTAGTTGCCACATAAGTTTCATGTCTTCTGCTTTAATAGGGTAAAAGGGATATCCCAAAATACTAGCAAGACATAACATTGCACCCACTTTATTTATACAGAAGAATTTTTCCCATCCAACATAAACTTTAAATACTACCGAATCCTTCAATAACATCGCTGTTTAAAACACACAATGTACTTGTATCAATATAATCACTCTTGGTTCGAAATAGAAGTCAACAAACTATTCAAAAAATTTCTCTCCCATCCAATATAAAAATACATTTCCAAAACAACATTTAACATAGACTGGAGTCTTTAACTTTTATTGTAGCGAAGTTCAATCATTGAAATTGAATTAAACATTCCTTCACAACCTACATAATCCTATGTTTAAAAATTTCTATCCGTTTCTGTATCATAAAATTCTATCCGTAGTTGTTCCTTTTATATTAGATGTATGATCATTGAAAATAAGTTGTAATTTCGTATAATAAAATAAAATTTCATCCATCTTATGCTCCTTATTTACTTTATATATATATAATTTCATCAATCTTATTATACTATATTAGAAACAAAACGAAACTTAGAGATTTACTATCATTTTGTCATGTGACTAGGCTATGTTTGTTTCATATTTTTTTTCAATAATATTTCTACAATAATATAATAATTTATTCCATCCTAACATACTTTTTAAAATTTTCAATACACATTTTTACATTCACAATGCAAAAAGTACCTAAAAAATACACACTAAAAAATTACATTTCCAATATAGTTTTTTACTTTCCTAATACAAAAAACACCTAAAAACACACACTAAAAGTGACCCAAAATACTAAAAATTAAAATAAATTTAAAAAGAACAATAACTAAATTTCATAAGGCGGCGGTATTTAGTATTAAAAATTAAAATAAATTAAATAAAGGGATCTGAAAATTTCAGTACTTGTTAGTTTGATTTAGGAGTTAATCTTGTTATTGTTACTCATGAACCCGGTTTATAATTTAACTAAACAGAAACTTCTCAATATAATTATATGACATTGAGGTGTTCGTATGGGTAATAGATCTCAAGTGACCTTAAGAGCTAGGGAATTGAGACAGGTGAGTACTCATTATGGGATTTGCTTGCGAACTTTTCCACTATTGCGTTTGCACTAATGTATAAATACAGGTCGTTATTGTATAAATGAATGATTCATTCATGCGTTGCATTCAGGTGTAATGTGTAGCAGGATTTATTCGAGTAATGTGGTCAGCTTCGGTTATTTGTTGAATGCTGTTGTGTCCTTATTTATTGATGTGACATGTGAAATAAATGACCATGAAATGACTAATGCAAATGTTTTGAATAATGAATTCTTTTCCAAAAATAAAAAATAAAATAATGAATTGAGGGCACATACTTCTCTTGTTGGGATGATGCCTATGATATTATAATGATTGTGGGGAACCAAGTGTCTATGTGCATGAGTCACCTCTAGAATTTCTCATTTAAGACTAAGTGCTACGTACGGGAGCCACCTCTAAATCCTACTATAGAAACCAAGTGCTCACTTTCGGAAGACACTTCTACGTACGTTCAGTTTTTTTTTTTATTACCTCTCATCTGCTGCTCTCCCTTCTTCTTTGTTTTCCGAAGAAACCCCCCACACACACACAAACAAAATCCGGCGGCCTTGTTTCTTTCTGCTGTTCTTCTCCCAAAACTTAATCCCACGATTCTATTCCTTCTGGTCGTTAGAATAGTAATCCGCCCGTGTTTTTTTTTTCTTCTCGAGTCTTTAACTCCTTACGTCCTATTCCCAGAAGTTTCGTACTCCGCTGCTGCTTCTTCCGTCGTTAGGTTCTGTTCGAATTTTTTTTTTCCTCACAAATTTCTGCCGCCGATCCCATCGCCTATAGCCTGTAGGTTTGTACTTCACAGCTGCTTTGTCTTATTCCGCGCTGTTTTTTCTTTATCTTCCCGTCGTCTCGTCGTCGTCTTGATTTGCCATTGCCCAGCCCCTGCTGTTATGGCAAACTCGGCGGCTTCTGCTGTCTCAGGCACCCCCTCATTCGATACCCTGCACACCACACCTCTCACTTCCGACCTTCCTTCCTCTCCGACACCATCTCATCCGGCTATTGGCCTATCCAACATAAAAAATTACGTCACCCCTGTGCTTGATTTCACGAATTACATGCTTTGGAAAGAACTTTTCCTTCCAGTCTTTCGCGGCCATGCCGTGATTGGTCACATCGATGGCTCCGATCCTTGTCCTCCGTCAACTCTCCCTGCCTTTGACGGCTCTTCCTCCTCTAATCCCAATCCCGCTTTTCAAACTTGGACCCAAATCGACTCCATTGTCCTCCCCTAGATCCAAGCCACTGTTTCAACCGAGATTTTGCAAGCAATCGTTCGGCAAAATTCTTCCCTTACTGCCCGCAAAGCGTGGCTTACCATCGAGCAACTCTTCCACGCTCAACTTGGTTCTCGCCTTCTGCAACTGAAATTGCAGTTTCATAGCTTAAAGAAAGGTGATTTAACCATAAATGAGTATGTTACCAAGCTGAAGATGTTGGCTGATTCCTTAACATCCGTTGGTTCTCCCATCTCCGCTGATGACTTGGTGCTTCAGATCCTAGTTGGTCTCCCTTCGGACTACCAGTCTGTCTCTACTACTATTAGCCATCGAGTTCCTTTACCCACTTTCGTTGAAGCTCGATCAATGCTCTTCTTGCACGAAGTGCAACTTCAGAATACTGCCCCTTTTTCCTTCTCCGTGGCTACCTCCACTCTGGTCGCGGCATCTTCAACTGAACCTCTACAGCATCAGTGAAACACCTCTACTCAACAGCAGCCCTCTTCCAATCGTGGCCGTGGCAGGGGTCGCGGTTTTCAGAATAATCGGGGACGTGGCTGTGGGCGTGGGCGAAACCAATTTTTTGGTCAGTCTCCCTTACCATTTTATGCACCTTTTACTACCTATATAGCTCCTATGTTTACTCCCAGGCAACGTGCTCCCTCTCTTCTTGGCCTGGCTCCCTCCTTCCAGTCCAATTCAGCGTTTGTTCGGTGTCAATTGTGCAATCAATTCAATCACTCTGCTCGAGATTGTCATCAGTTTCAACAGCACTCTTATTTTGTTGATCAAAATAATCGGCTCTCGATTCAACCGTCCGTTGATTCCTCCTGGTATATGGACACTGTTTGTGGTAACACTATGACTCCGAATCAAGGTACTCTTACTCATTCTAAACCCTATTTCGGTCCTACTCGAGTTGTCATTGGTAATGATCATCATTTACCTGTTACATTAGTTGGTCAACTTCCTTGCTCTAAGTTTCGATTTTCTAGGGTTTACCATGTTCCTTCACTAACTAAAAATCTCATATCTGTGCGTCAATTTGCAACCGAAAATCAATGTTCTGTCAATTTGACCCTTTGGTTTTTCGGTGAAGGATCTTTGGACGAGGACCCCTCGTCTACGTTGCAATAGTGTTGGTTCCCTTTACTCCTTCCCATCCACACTGCTACCTCACTCTCATGCCCCGTCTTCTTCGTCCTGTCTGGCGTTCGCTGCTTCGGTCTCCTCTCATGTCTGGCATCAACGCCTTGGTCATCCACATTCTTCTGTTTTATCTAGCTTAGTGTCCAATCACCGACTTCCTGGTTCGGTGGTTTCGTCAACTAAATTTAGATTTTGTCAGGCTTGTCAAATTGGGAAGCATCATAAGCTCCCTTTTA